GAACTGCCAAGGGGAGGAAGGTATGTTGAGAACATGGGTATTTAACAGAAGCCAAAATCCATTGTAGGGAACAGGTTTGTTTGTTAGAAGTTGAGGTCTCAGGTTGCCCTTCAGAGGCATTTTTAAAGGGGTACTTGCCCTCATGTCCCCAGTACCATTCAATTTGAATCATGATGTACCAGCCATGATGCCCCTGGTCCAAAGGCCTTTGGAACAGGGACAGTTTGATCTGTTTCCAAGTATTTACTAAGCAGCTGTGAAAGCCAGGCTCTGTGACAGGCAGGAAGTCACTCTGTCGTGAAAAGAGTTTAGATCCTAACATCATTAATAACCCAATCAGTGCTTATTTACGCCCTCACCTGTCCCCCACTATCATCACCAGACTTGGGTGCCCTGAATGACTCATCCCGAGTCCATCCCTCACGTGCCAGCCCCTCTCAGGCCCTGATTCTTCCAACAGATAGGGAGTCACAGCAGAGGGAGCGAGAACCAAGTCGAGTGTCAGACCCATGTCCCAATTCTGGCTCTACTCATCAGTAGCCTCATTTGATGACCATACACTGCACCTGCTGAGTGTCAGACACTGCAGAGCAGCAGGCCAGAATCCTAGTCTGACAGAGGGAAAAGCCCTGGGAACAAAGGTTCCAATCCTGGTAGCCAGTGGTTTAAATGGCTCCCATCCTGTTCTTGTCTACTGTTCTCCTAGCACCCTGCACAGTCCCGACCTATGCTGGATGGATGTTCAGTGGTGTCCACAAATAAGCAAACACGTTCATAGCAGGCGTTTCTTGAGGGCTCACTGTGCCAGGTGCTGTTATGAAAGTCACATGCATTAACTCATGCAGTGCTCACAAGCACCCTCGGAGGGGACGTTGTGATAACCTACCTGCTCAACTTGTAGTCTGACCCCAGAGTCTGTGCAGTGAGCCATTATAATATGCTAAGTTCAGGCAGCCAGCAAATCACAGAGGAGGCAGTAATCCTTTGAGGACATGGGCAAGGTCTTGTCCTTCCTGCTGATTTCAATATTGACATGGATGTGACCAGCCAGCACTGTGATGTCTCCATTTCTTCACCTCCTTACCTCCAACAACTATTTCCAGCTTCTGTCTCGACCACCATCTCTCATGCCAACCCTGGGTGTTGTCATAGTCTGCAAAAATGTTCCACTTCCAAACTCTCAGTGCAGGACTCTGCCTCCCAGTTTCGTTGTACCCTTCCAGCTCGCCAGTCCTGGGACCTTATTGCAATAATGGAGATACCACCCAACCACTCTGTTTTTACTATTAAGTGCCTCGTCCTGCCTTCATTACCTTCCCTACTCTCCTGAGATTCCGTGGTCTATTATTTTAATCTTTCCTTTGCATCTGTCTCCAATAGACTTGACTTTCTTTATCACTGTCATCCAGCCAAACTACAACATTTTTTAATTTTTTTTTGGTACACAAATGGAGCACAACTTTTCATTTCTCTGGTTGTATACGATGCAGTCACACCATTCATGCATTAATACATGTATGTAGAGTAATAATGTCTGTCTCTTTACACCATCTTTCTCACCCCTATGGCCCAATCCCCTCTGCCTAATCCAAAGTTTCTCCATTCTTCCCTTGTCACCCATCCATTATGGATCAGTATCCACATATTAGAGAAAACATTTGGCCTTTGTTTTGGGGGGATTGGCTTATTTCACTTAGCATGATATTCTCCGACTCCATCCATTTACCTGCAAATGCCACAATTTCATTCTTCTTTAGGGTTGAATAATATTCTATTGTGTATGTGTGTGTTTGTGTGTGTGTGTGTGTTTGTATGTGTATAACCGTTTCTTTATTCATTTATCTATTGAAGGGCATCTAGGTTGGTACCACAGTTTGGCTGTCGTGAATTGAGCTCCTATAAACATTGACGTGGTTGCATCATTATAGTTTGCTGATTTTTAAGTCCTTTGGGTATAGACCAAGGAGTGAGATAGTTGGGTCAAATGGTGGTTCCATTCCAAGTTTTCTGAGGAATCTCCATACTGCTTTCCAGAGTGGTTGCACCAATTTGTGGTCCCACCAGCAATGTATGAGTGTACCTTTTCCCCCACATTCTTGCCAACACTTATTGTTGTTTGTACTCTTAATAGCTGCCATTCTGACTGGAGTGAGATGAAATCTTAGTTTTGATTTGCATTTCTTTAATTGCTAGAGATGTTGAACATTTTGTCATATATTAGTTGGTCTATTATATGTCTTCTTCTGTGAAGTGTCTGCCCAGTTCCTTAGCCCATTGATTGACTGGGTTATTGTGTGTGTGTGTGTGTGTGTGTGTGTGTGTGTGTGTAGTTTTGGGGGTTCTTTCTATATCCTGGAGATTAGTGCTCTATCTGATGTGCATGTGGTAAAGATTTTCTCCCATTCTGTAGGCTGTGTCTTCACGTTATTGATTGGTCAAACTACAATACAACCATCAACTACATCAGAGTTGTTGAATGTTTCTGAGAAAAAAATATGCATCTGGGATGACAGGGGTATCTGAATTCATGGCCACAGATCTCAAAAAACAAAAAAGGCCCCCAACAACACTAACACTGCCTCAAGCCATTTTCTTCCCCACGGTCCATAACGGATCGTATAAACCCTCTGTTGCTCCTCAACACACCACAGACCCCACCCTCCACTTTCCCCCTATCTGTCTGCACATGACCTTCATCAAAAATGAAAGGAATCAGACAGGAGTCCCGTCTGCCCGTGGCCTAGTGGCTAACCCATAAATACCTATGCCCGACCCCATTCTGCTCCCTTTCCCTCCTACACTATGGGAGTAACGTTGTGCTTCTCTCAAAAGCAAATCCTTCCTTTTCCGCCTTCTTAAACCCCCACTCCTCCATTTACTCCCTCTCTTCTGTGTGTTCCGTCTTCTTCTTTCAACAGGATTCTTCCCTTCCCAAGAGGAGTGTGGTGCTGCCGCTGCACACGTCATGAATAAGGAACCAGGCACCCCCACACATCCTCCCTGAGAGCACTCATTTCCCCTGCTTTCCTGTACTGCAAAACTCCAGCTCCCTCACCGCCATCCCGCTCTGAACCCACCCCACCTGGGCATTCTCCTCTTCAGGGCTTTTGACAATGTCACCCAATGATGTCCAGGTTGCCAAAGCCAGTGCACAATTCTGTCCTCACTTTACTCAAACTCTGAGCGCTGGCATCCAACACAGTTGGTCTCACCTCCTGTTTGAAAAACACTCACCTCTGGCTTCTTTGATGACATTCCCTTCCATGGCAGGTCCCTTGTTCTTTTTGATCAACTTCTACACCCAACCTCTGAGAGTCGAAGGGCTTCTGGGGTGCTTCTAGCCTCTCCCCTTCTCTGCCTGTTGATCTTGTCCCCTGGAGCTAGGGTCTTATCCTGTCCCGTGGCTTTATCCCCCCTACCCGTAAATGACTCCAGTATCCATAGTTCCATTCCTACCACTTCCCCAGACTCCTGATACATACATCCAACTGCTTTCAAAGACCCTTTATTAACCATTACACACACATGAGCGTGCACACACACATGTGCACACACATACACATACACACATGGCTTTTCCTCCCCAAGTTCCCCCATATCAATAAATGGCACCCCCACCAACCCCAAGTCCCCCAAACCCTCACTCTTCCTGTCCACTCATCAGTGAGTCCTGTCTCTGAGTGTGGCCACGATTCTCTAGTGTTTCCTGGCCTCCACCACCTGCACCTCCACCCTTCACAACCTTTCCCTCCTCTGGCCACAGAGGGGCCTCCCTTTCTGCCTCTCCCCTCCATTCTCCATACAAAGAGAGTGTTTTCACTTGACTTTTTAATACCTATCCCACTGCCTCTGGAGTGAAATCCAAACTTCCTTCTGCATCCTCAACATGCCGAGTTATCTGTCTCCCTCCGGTTTTCCAGGATCTTTTCAACATGGTCCCTCTTGCTCACTGTGCTCCGGCAAATCTGTCTCCCAATTTCCCACACCAGGACCTTCATCCTTATTCTATTGCCCTAAAATTCTCTTCTCCCAGCTCTGTAAGTTGGTTATTAGCCTCCTCTTGGTTTCTTTTGTTTGTTGTCTTGCTTTTTGGTGCTGGGGATCAAACGTAGGGCCTCACCTATGCTAGGCAAGGGCTCTGACACTGAGCTGAAGGCCCATAGCTCAAGTGTCACCTCCCTAGAGATGGCTTCCTTGACCAGTCACAGCCTATCAAACACAGAATCTCCCGGTTCCTAAAATCTTGCAAGGATTTTAATTCCTCCTAACCCTATGAAGTGGTCTCTTTTATTCACATTATCAGTCCAGTCTTAAAACAAGAAAACTGAGTCTGCCCAGTGTGGTGGCACCAACCTTGAATCCCAAAGGCTCCAGAGGCAAGAGGATCGCAAGTTCAAAGCCAGGCTCAGCAACTTAGCAAGGCCCTAAGCAACTTAGTGAGACCCTGTCTCACAATAAAAAATAAAAACAGGCTGGGGAGGTGGCTCCGTGGTTAAGCACCTTGGATTCAATCCTCAGTTCAACAACAACAAAACAAAACCTGAGTCCAAAGAAAAAAATGACTATCACAGGCCAAACAGAAAGACAGGAGACGGTCTCAGTCTGGAACCCCTCACAGCCCACTCCAGGGGCTCTTCACCCCACCTTTCTCATCACCTGCATGTTGCTTTTCAACACTGTTAATAGTATGGATATCATCTTGTTCAGTTATTTCTGCAATGTGAGCCTCCTCATTAGAATATAGGCAACGTGAGGACAGAGACCATCACTGGATCCCCAGGGTCTCCCACATGGTAGGCACTTGACAAATAGTTGGTGCCTAAATGAATAACTAAATCAAGAGCAGGATTTGGATCAGAAACTTAAAATGCTTACGTGGATGGCTGCCCTGGGATTGTTGCACCTACCACGGTCCACATCTGTGTGACCACTAACGATGAGCAGATCATTCTCGTGTCGAGGGGTTGAATAATGTTACCTGTGCTGTGTCTATTTTTCAGAGCAAGTTTACTATGCGGGTCCTGTTGATAATTCTAGTTTTGATGTTCCTGAGGTAAGTCTGAGTTTTCTGTCTTACGTTGTTACTTAATTATTGTATTGAACATTTCGTGAAGATGGAGACAGAAGTAGAAGAAGAGGGGGGAGAAAGGATGAGGAGGAGGAGGAAAAGTAAGGAATTAAACAGTTTGAGATTTTTCCATAGGCCATCACTAAGACAATCCTTTCTCAATAAAGCTGTTACTCTATAGTGGACACTTAGAAGTGTGGCTTCTAAGTGTCCACTATAGAGTCAATGCATGGCTTTGCCCTTTTGGATGTTCATTTGATGTGTCATTGAAACTTTAGGGATTTTCCAGGCACAAACCCAACTGAGAAGGATGCTGGAGTCTTGTGCACAGGATTGCCAAGGTCTATGGGGCTCCATATGGCTACACTGATTGGGGTGTAGGGGAGGCACCACGCACAGACTGGCAGTTCAGAGAAAGGAAGATGCATAAAACCACAAAGGCTTAAATGTCCCCCTTGTAACTATTATCCATGGTCTGTGTCTTAGTTCATTTTCTGTTGCTATAACTGAATGTCACAGACTGGGTGATTCATAAAGACTAAAGGTTTATTCAGACCATGGAGACTGAGAGGTCTCTAGGAAGAGGCTGCATCTGGTGAGGTCCTTCTTGCTGGTGAGGAGGACTCTCTGCAGGGTCCCAGTGTAGCCCAGAGCATCACATACTACACAGAAAAGACAGAGATAAACTGCTTTTTATAACAGACCCACTCTACAGACTGCCCATCAATCTATTAAGAATGGATTAATCCATTTATGAGGGTATACCCCTCACAAGCGAAATTTTTCAAGAAAGGAAAACTCATCCTCTCTTCACTTCTAGGATCCAGGGCCCAAAATCTTCCAGATAGCTTTTTTTTCTCTCTCTCCTTAAATCTTTGCTATTTGAATTTTTTTTTGGTCTCATTTTCCTTCTGATACCCCACAGGAGACTGACATAAAAGTTGCTAACCACTGATTTTCATTTTGCATAATTGGCTTTTTCTTTAACTAGCTGCCCTTAGCAATCGCTGTGAAATAGAAAAGGACTTTTTAAAGTCATAGAACCCTTCTGAAAGAAAACTCACCAGAGATGTAAAAAGCTTTACAGGTGTTCCTTGATTTACAAGGGGGCTATATCCTGGTAAACCTATTGTAAGTTGAAAATAACTTTAAATCAAAAACGCATGCAAGCATCCTAGCTTAGCCACAAGTACATTGTAGACTGTTGGTTGCTATCGCTTGGGATTGTGTGGCTAATGGGAAGAAGCCTCAGCTCTCTCTTGGTGCCCAGGATCAAGACAGGATCATACTGCATATCACTATCTAGAGAAAAAATCCAAATTCAAAATTCAAAATATCTTTTCTACTGGATGCATATCACTCTCAAGTCATCCTAAGTCGAACCACTGTGACTCGGGGACCAAACCTATTGCAGTCATTTGCTAAGCTTAGAAGAAAAGCAGTACCTTCCTTCCTTAACCCAGAATAGTGCTAAAGGAGGCATGGCCTGATGTGAGGGCAAAGCCACGGTCAGGTCTCCTGGGCATGGGCCTCCTCCCCTTCTGAGGCTCATGCCTGGGACAATGGCAGTCCCTGCTTGGTCAAAAATGTAGCTCAATATTAAGTGCCTTGGTATTACTTTTCATTTATTTTTTAGGTAGAGAAATAGACAAATACTATTTTTAGTTGGCATGTAATAATTATACATATTTATAACATATACTATTATATTTCAATGTTTATATACAATGTACAGTCATAAAATTGGCATGTCTATCATCTCAACATTTATCCTGTTTTGGAAACATTCCAAACCATCCCAAATAGCTTATTTCCCATCTAACACACCCAATTATTTAGCCTAAATTGAAGTCTTGCATGCAATTTTATATCTGTTTATGCCTTCTATCTTCTTAATTCGAATTTAGAGATCCTTTGGCTTCCCAAAGCGTATGGACAACAAAGTATAGGTATAGTCTGAACCATGTATTACTAAGGAAGCAAATACACATTCCTAACTCACAAATGCAGTGTCCTCCTCAAGAGCACAAAGACTGCAGCCATCTGTCCATCTGTCCCCAGATTGTCACAGTTGCCTAAAGACTATTACCAGGGTATGTGTGTCTTATAATGCATCATCTAGAGCACCTTCCTCCAAATACTCCATTTTCTTTTCGACTCATAAAGCAATAATGAAAAACTCATTTGGTTTTCAACAATTTTGCAGATTGTGGGCTTACATGCACTTGGAAAGTTAAACAAGAAGTAGAGAATAACGATGATGATGATTATGGTGATAATGGTGGTGGTGGTGGTGATGATGAAGAAACACCATCGGATAAATTTCAACTGGCCTTTGCTCATAATTCATTCTCCAACTTTTACACTGCTCTGGTGAAATTCCTAACACTGCTTCTAATATCAGAGTTGCTTGACATTTGACCTGAAGAACCACAGAATCCTCAAGCTGAATCACCTAATCAGTCCTCACACCCAAAGAATCACCCAGAGCATAGCCTGCTTCTCTCTAATGCAATTTCCACCTGAGCCTTTGCTAATTGCTAGAAAGTTGCCCTCTGCTACCAAAAAGCTCCCGATCTTGCAACTTCTATCCAATGGTCTGATTTATTCCTTCCCTCTGGCTTGATACAGATTAAACTCCTTCCCTCCTTTGGGTGACAGGCCATTCAAAGATGTGCCAGGTATTTCTTATGTATCCTTCTCTCTTGACTTTTCTGCTCTGCTTGCCACTACCTCTCACCACTCTGAGTTTTCTTCTCCAGACTGGTGGGTCTACAGACATGCTACCACAGTGTGCAGAGAACAAGACAGAAGCATGTCAATCCCTGGGATATTCCCACAATTCCTCATATAGCATGGCTGTCATGGCCTCTTCTAAGTGGTGATATGCCACCAGCAAATGAAGGGAGCTCTCTCTAGAGTCCTGTTGCTAGAAAGGAATCCTGAAAGATGGCACCCTTCTTCATGATAGAGCATTTTGGTTCTATGCTGTGAAATTTTGCCCCCACCAGGATTTCCTCCATTTCAACAAATGATACTTTATCCTCCCCATTGCCGAGGCCAGAAGGCTTTAATCCATCTCTTGCCTCTCACCCACTTGGGTTTCCTCAGCAATCATAGTGGCAGTTCTTTCCAAATCTATCCCAAACCCAGCCCCTTCTCCCTATCCACCAAGTCATGCTCACCTCTCACCTGGATGACTGCAGTCTTCTCCTACCTAATCATAGGGCTTCACCCTTTCCCACTACAGCCTCTTTTCAACATGGCAGCCAGAGAAATTCTATTCACACACAAATCAAATACAACCACTCTTCTGGGGAAAACGGTCATAACTTGAGTCCCTTTTAGACCCTTTTAGACTGGAAGCCAACATCCCCACCCTGACCTGTGAGGTCCTAAGATTCTGGATTCCTGTGGACTCCCACTCTCCCCTCCTCTCCTTTCTCTCCTGGCAGCACCGCTGGCCTCCTCAAACTCTGAGCCATCAGCCCCAGAGCAGCATGGCGCCCCCCCCTGCACCTTCTTCAGGTCTTTGCCTAAAGATCTTTCTCTCAGTAGATCCTCTCTTGACCACCATCCTTAAAATTGCAAACCAGCTGAGGATACAGGGGTAAAGGTGCATTCATACATTGTTGGTGGGACTGCATACTAGAACAACCACTTTGGAAAGCAGTATGGAGATTTCTCAAAAGAGGAGAAATGGAACTACCATATGACCCAGATATCCCACTCCTTGATATTTATCCAAAAGAACTAAAATCAGCATACTATAAGGATGCAGGCACTTCAATATTTATAGCAGCTCAATTCACAATAGCCAAGTTACGGAACCAACCTAGGTGCCCTTCAACAGATGAATGGATACAGAAAATGTGGCACAGACACACAATAGAGTTTTACTCAGCCATAAAGAATTAAATTATAGCATTTTCTGGTAAGCGGATGGAACTGGAAAACTTCATACTAAATGAAATAAGCCAGACTCAGAAAGTCAAGGGTCAAATGTTTTCTCTCATGTGCAGAAGCTAGAACAAAATAAAACAGGAAAGGCAGGTTGGGGGTTATTCCATGAAAATAGAAGGGAAATCAGTGGAGTAGCGGAAGGGAATAGAGGTGGAAGGAAGTGGGATGGGATGAAATGTGGAGTGAAATTTACCAAATTCTTCTGTGTATGTATATGAATATTCCACGGTGAATTTTACCAATTCAAAAAACAATAAATAAATGCAAGGAAGACCAGTAGAGTATAGAAAGGGAAACAGGGAGAGGAAGGAGGGAAGAGAAACAGAAAGAACTGGGGACTGACAGAGCAAATTATATCCATGCATGTATGATTATGTCAAAAATGAAGCCTGCTATTTTGCATAATGATGATGCACTCATAAAAACATTTTGAAAACTGCAAACCAACATTAGTCCCACCCTCCCCAGCTCTCCCACCCACTCCTTCCTGCCCTGTTCTCCTTAGCATCAGTATTTAACAAGCTCTCCATGGTCCCTCATGTGTGGCTTGTTCATCTCTCCCAGAAAGACAGAGCCCCACAGGGCAAGGAGTTGGTTTGTCTTCTTCTACTTCAGGATCCCTTCAAATACCCAAATCCACAGATGCTCAAGTCCCTTAGATAAAATGGTGTAGGATTTGCATACGACCTATGCACATCATCTGCATATTTTAAACCATCTCTAGATTACATAGAATACCTAATACAATATTTAATATAATATAAATGTTGTATAAATAGGCAGGATGTGGTGATGCATGTCTATAAACCCAGCAGTTTAGGAGGTTGAGGCAGGAGGATGCAACTTCAAACCCAGACTGAGCAACTTAAGGCTCAGGTTACTTACTGAGACCCTGTCTCTACATAAAATATAAAAAGGGCTGGGGGTGTGGCTCAGTGGTAAAGTACCCCTAGATTCAATCCCTGGTACCAATATATATATATATATATATATATATATATATATATATTTTACATAAATAGTTTTTATACTGTATTGTTTAGGGAATAATGACCATGATAAAAGTCTGTAGCTGTTCAGTACAGATGCAAGTCTTTTTCAAACATTTTCAGTCTGCAGTTGGTTGAAGCTGTGGATGCTGAAACCTCAGGCCCAGAAGGCTGGCTGCTGAATGATTGACTATAGTGTGTGTCCCCTGCCTAATAATTCTCCCTGTGTCTCTTGCAGGGAGAATACCAGGTTTTGCTGAAACTGTATAATGAAAACCATTCCACAGTGGCTTGTGCCAATGTCACTGTCATTGCCTCCTGACTGTGGCCTGCAGGCAAAAGCACAGTAAGCTCATTCTGATGGGAACTCCAAGGTCCCCAGACTCAACCTGCTTTGTAAGAAGAACCAGTTGATGACAGAGACTCTGAAGAACTTCCTGAGCAGTGCAGCAGCTAAGTTGAGCCTCAGAATCAGATGTCCGCACACTCCACAGATGGAATGAAGCCCTGGAAATTATGTGCTTCCGGGGAGCCTCTCAGTAGTCACTAAGCAGTCTCCAGGGTCATTTCTTCCTTAATTAGTAACTCAGACTTCCTTTCTTTTGGATTCCTTAGGAGCTTTTCCTCACCGTTACCCAGAATAAAGAAAACTAGCTCACAAGTCTTCAGCATGAATTTTTCAAAATATCGTAGAACAGTACTGTCATTAAAAAGTCATTTTCTCCAGATACAGACAGGTGTCACCTGCTGGCCCAGCATAAGTCCCTCTAGGAAATTCAGAAGCATGATATTCCAGCTACAACTAGAGAACCTCACAAAACACTCATGTCCCCTTCATCCTCTGTGTCAGCCAGCTTTCCGTCACCCACAATAAATACCAGGGACAATTGACCTATGAAGAGAAAAGGGTTACTTTGGCTCACAGTTTTGAAAGTTCTGTCCACAATCATTTGGCCCCTGCTGCTTTAACCTGTGGCTGCCAGCACATCACGGTGGGAGCATGTGTTAGCGCAAATCCACTCACCACACAGGCCAGGGAGCAAAGAGGAAGAAGAGGGATCAGGGTCCCACAGTCCCCCTTAAGGGCACACCCCAAATTTCCTAAAGACCTCCCACTGGACCCCACCTGCTAACGGCCCCCCCACTTGACAGTAGTGCCACCCCAGGGAATCAAGCCTTCAACACAGGCCTCTCAGGACATTCGAGATCCAAACTACAGCATCCCCCAGAGCATGATTACACCCGACCTCAGCACAAGATGTCACTCATTCCTACACTCATTCATTTATTTAAGGAAAAAGTGCTCAACACCTAGCATATAAGGCACTGTGCTCCTAGGATACACTGAGAACAAAAACAGGTACTGCCCTTGTCTCCAAGAGGCAGTTCCTGAAATATTAAGAAGCCACATGACCAGCAGTGAACAAATTCATCTGCATCTTCAATTCCTCAATAAATGAGCAAGTTGCCCATCTTATTTCCAGAGCCAGCTCCAAAGCCCAACTTCTCATCTCCTGGAGTACAGATGGCATGGTAGGCTCTGCAGTCCCTTCAACACACTGTTCCCTCCTCCCCGATCCTCTCCTGCCATGGTCCCTGGGCCCAGTGTCTAGCCCTCTTGCTCTTGCCACTGGTCTTCAGTAGGATGGGTGGGTTGACTTTGTCATCTAATCATCTTTTTTTATTGAGAGAGAGAGAGAGAGAAATAGAGAGAATTTTTTAATATTTATTTTTCAGTTTTCAATGGACACAACATCTTTTTATTTTTATGTGGTGCTGAGGATCGAACCCAGCACCCCGCGCATGCCAGGTGAGCATGTTACTGCTTGAGCCACATCCCCAGCCCGTCTAATCATCTTTTATATCACAAAAGTGCCACTATGTTAGAGATTAAAAGAGGAAAAATCCCATAGTTCAAAAAAGGCTTATTGTTATTAATTCCTACATGGAAATAATTAAACCACCTGGAATGGCCAGCCATACGCTCCTGTTGGCAAACCAGCATCTGAGATTTTCTGGGTAATAGAGAGACAAAATGATAGCAGCATCCCCATCTGGTCTGTAATCCTTCAGATAAGACATTTATGACTGCACCAGGCTCAGGAGCAAACCTCTGGACACAAACCCAGGGAATGGTGCTGTCATACACAAGAACAGCAAACAATTTCTGACCCTTCTCTATTCCCTTCAGCTGGAGATATTTGCCCTACTCTCTTCTCAGTAAACAGTCCTACGACTAGCAAAGGACCTGAGGAGATTCTGTGTACTCACATATCCCAACAACTCAGGACAGCTGTTACAAGATTCCAAAGGCACACACAGAACTCAGCTGCTCCTATCCTTTGCACTTCTCCTTTAATTTGACATCGGGGGTGGGGGAAATTCAGGTACCTTAGGTTTGGATTAAATAGTGATTTCCATACATGGAGCTGACCCTTGGCATGGCCGAGTGACTGCACCAGTAAGTAGCAGTTTCACTAAGGATGTGACTTGAGAGAAACAGAAAATGTTTCTCCATCCCCAAATACCCTTTTTCTTAATGTCCTGTCATGGGCCTTGGATTAGGCACCCCAGGATGCAGGAGGAGTGAGTACCACAAGCCAAGCTCAAGCCAGACCTCTGGGTGGTGGTCCAGGGGGTGGTAAAATGGTCCGATCTATCCAATACCCTAAATTTACTTCTCTTCTCACAGAGTTCGCTGCCGTTTCAAAAATCACCATCAAAAACTACAAAGATGTGTTCACAATAGACTTGTGAAAGGGGAGTAGAGTTTGGTCCAGAATTAGTCGATGTCCCCAGAACCCAAGAACTCTTGTGGAAATCAGCCAGCTCCGGTCATTCTGACACCTACCAGCCCTGCTTTATATTTTGAGGGAAATTTCAATCCCTGTCTATAAAGCATTTTTTTTAAATATTTCTGAAGGAAATTTCAGAACTCGACCTGGATCGAAAGTACTGAGACTTGGTTTGCTCCTGTGACCTCTGAGCCCTGAGGAGGCCCAGGCAGCTGCCAGGGTTTGCTGTGGAGGTTCACGCTATCGCCAGCCCTTCCCCTCCATTTCTCTGCCCATCTTCCTTCCGCCTCTGGCCTCCCGGAATATTGGCTTCACACCATCAGGCAGTCTTTCCTGGAACCGCGCCATCTCAGCAGTTGCCAACCTCACACCCGCTCTGTCCTCAAGGCTGAAGATGAGAGCCCTGCTTTCTCCTGAAGCCCCGCCTTTCATTTCTGATTGGACTAGCTCGGGTCACATGACCACTCCTTAACCAATCACTTTAGCCCTTCCCTGATTGGCTTGGCCTAAGTCACAGGCTCCACCCCTGCAGATGAATCAGTGTCAGTTCTGGAGGTGCCGCACATTTCCTAAGTGGATGTGCAGCGAGTCCAAAGAAGGTAAAGGGAAAAGATGCTAGAAATTGAGAACAAGTCTAGAATCAGGCCAGTTTTTGAGTTCAGCTCCCCAGCTGCTCACTGAGCAAGTAATATGTTTTCCAAGCCTTCATTTCCTCATCTCTGAGTTCCCACTGTAATAACCTTATAGAGAAACTGTGAGAATTAAATGCGAGCATGCATATAGAGCACTTAGTACAGTGCTGGACATCTTATTCAATAAAAGTGAGTTATTAGTGCATTAGGGTGGGTGCTCACCTGTGCAGATAGAGCACTGGGTTGCCTAGTTTCCTTCTCCTGTCCTCTTACATCAGGGGGTAAATAATCATAGAAGCCCAGCCCTCACTCATAAACCCATATTCCTTCCTAGGTCCTGAAACGGTTCCTAAGAGGGTAGCTAGCTTTCTCAGACCTGGGAGGGGGCATGTTCCCTGAGCTGTCTGCATGGACCATAACTCTGCAAAATATGTAATAGTAACATTTTATCCCAAAACAGAAAGACAAGTTTCCCCCAAAACAGAAACACTATAACCAGGCCAAAAAAGGGCCTTTGAAATGTGTGTGCGAGTGTTAATTAAACTTGTTTCCTGCAAATAAAGACACACAGAGCCAAGATGTGAAGAACTAAATGTAACATCTGCAAATTTAACAATTACGTCTGCCTTCAGAAAAAAGAACAAAACCCTAAAATAGCTAGTGAGAGAATGGAAAGGGCCACATCCTGATTATAATCTGGACTTGTTAGAGGGGAGACAGCTTACCATCTCAGCAGTTTCATTTCAGATTTGAATTGGCTGGATTCTTCTCAGTTGCCAAAACCAGTGCCCCTGTCTAATTTCCCAGTCGCTTATCAGGCAAGTAGGGATCCTGTAGGAGTCAAGAATGAGTTATTTTATCTCTAGTATTATATATCTTCAGTTTTTCAATTTGGAACTGAAACCTTCAGCTGTCTTCAAATGTAACAGCCTGGATTTTTTTTTTTTTTCTGTAACACAACTTTCCTTTAACATGTGCCGTGGTTTGGAATAGTGTCACCCAAAGCCCATATGTCAAAGTCTTGGCCCCCAGACTGTGTTGCTTCCTAGGATGATGGTGGAGCCTTTAAGAGGTGGGGCTTAGTGAGAGGTCCCTAGATCATTGTGGATGTGAGACCCCAGCCAGTTCTCTTTCCCTCTGCTCCCTGGCTGATGGGTGAGTCATTTTGCTCTCCTACATGCCCCACTCCATTTGTGCTGGCCCACCACAGACCCAAAGCAATGGGGCCAATTGATCATGGAATAAAATCTCTAAAGCTGTGAGCCAAAATAACCCTTTTCTCTTTACAACATGATTATCACAGTGATATCACAGTGACAGAAAGCAGACTCATACAGTATCTTGGTCTCTTCATTCCTTAGGAAAATAGTTTATACATCAACTCCTTTGGCCAAAAATAATGACTTCTTCCTCCAGGTGATTTTTTTTTCCTGAAATCCAAACAAGAATAGAAAGAGAAAATATCCAGGCCTTTATCATTTTATTGTGAATTTTCTCCTTTTCTCTCTTGCCTAGAAGAGGTAGAGGAGGGGCCACAGAATATTATAAAAATAATGAGAATAGATGCCACCAGGTTTCCACATAAAGATGGACTCAAGTGATTTTAAAAATGTAAGTGCAGAAAGACAACATCTGAGCAGACAGAACAGCAATAATAAAAATAAAGCATTTAAACATTTTTTCCTTTCTTTTCTTTTTGTTGGTGGGGTAACCAGGGATTGAACCCAGGGACGCTTAACCACTGAGCCACAATCCCAGAATTTTTTTTTTTTTTTGAGACAGGTTCTCACTAAGTTGCTTAGGGCCCCATTAAGTTGCCGAGGCTGACTTCGAACTTGCAATCCTCCCGCCTCAGCCTCCTGAGTCGGTGGGATTACAGGTGTGTGCCACCCCTCCCTGCTAAAACACATTTTTAAAGGCTAACAATAACTCAGGTGTTTTCTCTATGTCTGGCATTGTGCTAGATATTGCACCTGCATATTAATGCTTAATCTCAATACTTAACAGCCTATGGGTGGCTAATACAAAGATACACATTATAGAAGACGAAGCTGGCACTTCGAGAAGTTGGGTAACAGTCCCAATGTACGCTGGGCTTGTAAGCTCAACCACTCCCCTGGGACTCAACTCTGTCTGACTGAATCCACACTCTTTCTACTTGTTGTGTTATGCCAGATTCGTGGGACCCCAATAGACCTCCAGAGTCTTTATTACTAGCTCGAGCCTGGACTCAC